GAGAAATCACCCCCCCAGGGGGGATGGTCACGCCGCAGTCCCTTCTCCTCCATTCTCCTCTCGGGATCTTGGGCACGCACGCACACGCGACCGGCGTGAGTTTTAAGCCACCGGGTCCGGGACGCGAACCACGGTCGACTACGTGGGAGTCCAGCGACGTAGCCATCACGCTAACTGCTGGTCCTGAGCTGAGAAAATCTTTACAGCTGGTCATATGGGAAAGGGCTGGTAGTGTCTTGTGCCTCTCTGTCTCCACAGCCCAGAATCTGTGAAGACTCAGCAAGGTGGGCCCAGCCGGTGGGGCGGTGGTTGGGACACTGGACTCCCACATAGGCAACTGCAGTTTTAGTCTGGGGCCTGATGGCTTGCTTTCTCACTTTCCTTCTCTCTTTCTCTGTCTCTCTCAGGTAAGCTCATGTGCCCTGTAGCAAATTAAAAATAATAATGATGATAAATAAAATTAAATCATTCTTTAAAAGAAAGACTCAGCAAGGTAATTGTTAATGCTCATTAGTTAAGCATGAGGCTTCATTTATTGTGAGGAAGATAGAAGGCTAAGTTCCGTAAGACTCCTTGTGAGGAAAGTGAAAGATGCAAGTTAAAGACAAATTATCCTAAGGTTTAATACATTAAGATAACCTTGGGACTAGCAGATGGCGTAATGGTTACGTCGCTGGACTCCCATGTACTCGACCACAGTTGGAGTCCCAGACCCAGCAGTTTTAAACTCTTGCTGGACCCTCACAGTCTCGCTTCCAAGATGAGAAAGAAAAGAAGGAACACGGCCGTGCCAAAAAGGGCCATGGCCACGGGCAGCTTATTCACTGCACCAAGTGCATGTGGACAAGGCTATGAAGAAGTTCATCATCCAAAACACAGTAGAGGCCACAGCTGTCAGGGACATCTCCAAGCAAGTGTCTTCGATGCCTGTGTGCTCCCCAAGCTGTCCTTGGAGCTGCATTTCCGTTTGAGTTGTGCCATTCATAGCAAGGTAGCCAGGAACCGATCTCAGAAAGCTCAGAAAGACACAACACCCCCACCCTCCAATTTAGACCTGAGAGAGCTACCCATCACCTTCCACCAAAGCCGAGGTAAGGAGCTGAATCTTTTTTTTTTTTTTAAGAATTATTTTATTTAACTTTATTATTTGTATTATTTTTCAACTTGACCAGAGAGAGAAAGTGAGAAAACAAGCCACCAGGTCCAGGACTTGAACTGTGGTCAGCCATGTGGGAGTCCAGCACCCTTAACCACCACACTGCCTGCTGGCCCCATGGAGCTGAATCTTTAAGGACTAAAGAACTATCCTCTGGGAAAAAATAAAATGCAAAGTATACACTAAAAACAAACAAACAAAAAATTCACACCGGACATGTTTGTGTGTGTGCCCAAAGTCCCAAGAGAAGAGAAGGGATTGCAGCGTGGCCATTTCCCCAAAGGGTGGTTTCTCACTTTCTGTCTCTGTCTCTCTAGAGAGCACATGCTCCCTAAAGCAAAATCTCTCTTTAAAAGTAAATGGACTTAAAGATTAAGTACAATATAAAGTCTGGTTCTCCTATGGCTCAGTTACAAAGCCACCATACCCTCAGTTCCCTGGCCCTCAGACTACCCCTCAGATAACCCCAAGGGGAGTCCATGCTCATCTTGGCACTTCACTTTGTACCTCCTGTCTCCGTGGATGACACACTAAGTGCTTAAGTTCAGCCAGAGGCTATCTATTTGATATCTCTTTTACATCTGATGAGATTCAGGGTCTCTTCCAGAACCTTCTTCCAAATCTCATTTGCTGGAGGCACCTCTTTTAGCTATTCTGCTTTTAAACTGCAGGTGCCCACGCTGGCATTTCTGGATGGTGCCTTGGCAAAGGGAGGTCTGTCTCCAGACCACACCCGCACATGTCTCCTTTGGGTTTTGGATGAACTACACAGGCCTAAGGACCACAGTACTGTCATCTCCTGCTTTGAAAACTTCAACAGCCTAACTGGCCTCCTTCCAAACTACCCTGTGTATCTTAGCCAGAATCACCTAAGTGTGTATCTGATCTTGTTGCTTCTGTTCTAAAGACCCTGTCTGCCTTTGCCCCAAGACAAAGTCCATATACCTCGCAAAGTTCAACCAGGCCATTCAGGGCATTGCTTTGGTCCCCCTCCCTGCTTTCAACCAGAAAGAAGTAGGTTCACTGAGTTCTGTCTCACCTGTGGGCATTTACTCATGCTTTTTGTTCCACCTGGAAGGTTCTCCTCCACTGTTGTCAACCCCCACCTCAGGCCTGCCTCACTCCTGTTCACTTTCAGGTGTCACCTGCTTCAATATCACCTTTTCGAGGAATTTATGCCTGACTACACCCCCTAAGCTAGCCCACTGGGCTTGCTCCCACTTTCACACTTACTTGTATTTTGCTTGATTATTTATCCATCTATATTGTTAAAACTTGGAAAGCATAAACCAGGTCTTGTGTCCCTACCACCTAACCCTGTGCTTGACCCACAGTACTTGCTCACTGACTGATGAACATGGGCCCTGCAACACTCTCCCTCCAGGCATCCAGGGCTCTGTTCTCTGCAACAACGCCCTTGGTCTGAGCCTGTTTCTGTCACATGCAGTGGCCTGAAGGGGCCTGACTTAGTAGACAGATGGGTGCCAAGGTGATTCACTCTTCAGTGACCTTTGCTGTCTTGGGCTACTATCAGAGCTGAGTCTCACTAGCTGCTGTGTGACGTGGCCGACGTGTACCACCATCACAAGCTAAGTCCAACCCCATAATCCACGTGACAGGTCCCTCCTTCCTCAACCTCCAAAGAGCAAGAGAACTACCTGCCACTTGATCAGCCTCTCTGCCTGGGTGACCAAAGCTGTCATCTACGTTGTGTCAGATGACCATTGAGTGTGACTCCCCTTTTCTTATTCAATGTGGCCAACCTTCACCAGACTGAATAGTCACATCTCTGATAATGGCAGTCAAAGCAGTTCTTTATCCAAAGATGGAAAGACCCAGAGTTCTGGAGTTGTGACCATTCTGTTTCCTTGTACAGAATGGTGTGATGTTTGAGAGCTTGGGTTCTAGGCACACTGACTGAGATGGATCTCTTTTCCACCACTTGCCAGTGGAATGACCTTGAGCAAGTCACATGAATGTCTCATCCTTTGGTTCCTCATTCATAAATGACTCTGTGAATAATAGGAGTGCTCTCTCTTAGTATTACTGAAGATTTGGTAAGACCATCTGTGTAAAAGAGCTTAGAACAGACTAGGTCCTCAAATAAATGAGCTCCTACTGTTTATACACCAGGGGAGATAAAGCCCTGGAAAACGGGCCTCACCTGCTAACTCTCTTCCTTGTCCCATTTGTTGCAGAAAAGTAGATGCCAAGGAATGGGAAGCAGCACTGGGAAAGATAAGGAGAACTGTTTATTATGCCTGAGGGCACAGAACAGTTAACACTCTAAATCTCCACCTGACTGGGGATTGGACATGGCCTTTTATGGGGAATTGGGGGAGGGGAGGTCTCGGGATGGGAATGGGCTCAGGACCTGCCCTACCCAGAGTAAAAGGGAGGAGTCAGAGAAGCACTAATCTATTCAAGGCACTAATCTGTTCAAGGTTTTCAGGTTACCCTGTAGCTCCAGGGACACAGGGCAACTATCAGCCCTGAGTTACTCATGAATTCAGGGTCCTTCCATATCATATTCTTCCCTTCAAGTCCCTCCTCTGTGAAGGCCATTCTCCCCTTCCCAAAGGATGAAGCAAGACTCAGCCCCTTCTCTCCCTGGTTCTGCTTTCCCCTCAGGTGAATGTCTGTACGGTCTTCCTCCATCCAGGGCTCTGTTAGCTGAGACCTGTGTGCCTGTTGGCC